TTTTATTATAATTTGTTTACCTTTAAAACATAAAACACCCCCCAAATGTTGCCACAGTAAACTCGCGTTGTAAAACAGAAGGGCCTTTATTTTTATATTTTCAACCAGATGTTTCTAATTTTAAAGTTGATATTAGTGGCCGATGTGGTCAATAGACTCGGCGTGGTATTTAGTGTAGTGACCAGTGCACAAAGGAAAACAGCATTGTTTAGACACAACTTGGCATTTGAGACATTTACGTTTACCGAGTTTGTTAAGCAGTCGTTTAAGTTGTGTAATTCGATTAAGATGTATTGATCTCTATACGAGATGTTCGTGAAATTATGATAGGTAAAATATGATGCATTATAAAATTATAGTTGTAAAAATAGTCATTTATAATTTTTTTTTATAATTTTTTGTGTTTAAACATTAAATTTTATAGTCAGTTTAGAATATTAATTTACTTATTTTTATTCAAGTTTTCCACGCTTTTTTATTATTTCAAGATAACGTTTTAATTTTTTATTTATTTTTCTATTATACAAGGTCTCCCGAAAAATTTATTTATTTTTTATATTCTCTGTTTATCGTATATTAAATTATTTTTTCTGTTCCCATTGCATAATATTGACAGTATTTGGGTTTTCCCCTAACACCCGGTATGTTTTTACACCCGCCCAACAAATGGAATAATGGACTCATTATTAACAATCGGGTTTTCAATTGGGCACGGTGTGCCTGAACGAAGTTTAAGTCACATAAAAATGCCGCCAAAAACTGATTGCAGTTTCTTGTTCGGGACCCTTTGGTGACTTAAAAACGATATTTACCAAAATCCTAGCTGCTCCTCTTTTCAAAATTTTTTGAAAATTCATGATTTTTTTTGTAAATTTTTGGTTTATCTTAAAGTCTACCTTTGACAGAGTACACATTTGTTACAAATGTGTACACCGATTTTTATAATATTGGAGTATATTGTTAAGGAGATTTGGAAAATACTTTTTTATACTGTGTACATCATTTAATATATACAGGGTTGGCCAAAAATCGCTTCTTTTAATAATGCAAAACTTCATGATTTTGGCATAACACGCAAAAAAGATATATAACCACCCATGTTTTTTTAGATATTTTTATGTTTATCAGGCTACAAAATGGGATTCTTGTTAAGATAAGAAAAATTGATTTTGAATAAAATTAAATAAAATAACATTTTTTGGAGATAAATTTTTTTTGTGCATTATGCTTTTTACTATAATATATATATATATTATATTATAAAAGAGTGATTTTTGGCTAACCCTGTATAAATCTAATGATGTTCTCAGTATGAAAACAGTATTCTCCAAGTTTCGCTAACAATATAATCCAATATTATAAAAATCGGTGTACAAATGTGTACTCTGTCAAAGGTAAGATAAACAAAAATTTAAAAAAAAATTAAGAATTTTCAAAAAATTTCGAAAAGAGGAGCAGCTAGGATTTTGGTAAATATCATTTTAAAGTTACCAAAACCTTTGGTCCAAAGGGTCCCAAACAAGAAACTGCAATCAATAAAAATCGTTGTACAAATGTATACTCTGGCAAAGGTAGACTTTGCGATAAACAAATAATTAAAAAAAAAACAGTTAGAATTTTGATAAATATCGTTTTTAAATCTCCAAAGAGTGCCGATCAAAAAACTTTAACCAGTTTTTCGTTCAAAATTGAAAACTACTCAAAAGCCTAAATTAAACAACATTTTAAATATTCTCTAAGCGTTATTTTATTTAATCTTATTAAAAATCTATTTTTTTATAAAAGGTTAATAAGAATGCCATTTTGTAACCTGATAAACGTAGAAATATCTAAAAAAAAAATTGGGATGAATCTTTTTTGCGTGTTATGCCAAAATCATGAATTTAGGCTTTTGCTTTATTAAAAATAAGGGATTTTTGGCTCACCCTGTATATATCAAATGATGTGAACAGTATTAAAAAATATTCTTTAAGTCTCCTCAATAATATACTCAATTTTATAAAAATCGGTGTACAAATGTGAACTCTGTCAAACAAAATAAACAAAAATTAAAAAAAAAATCATGAATTTTCAAAAAATTTCGAAAAGAGGAGCAGCTAGGATTTTGGTGAATATAATTTTTAAGTCACCAAAGGGTCCCGAACAAAAAACTGCAATCAGTTTTTGGCGGCTTTTTTATGTTACTTAAACTTCGTTCAGACACACCGTGTGGGACTGTCTAACAGATGTCAGATTTTTTTATATATACGAGGGGCGACTATAATGATCTTTAAAATCGGAAGAAAGTAAGGTTATATTAAATGTTGTTAATAATGAAGTAGAACAAAAACTTGGATAAATCCAGCCAATTTCAAAACTTTTTAACGATTCAGTGAATTAAATTCCTTTGAGAATTAATTAACTTAAGATAGAATTTATTTTATAATAGCAGATGATGTAAATCTTAAATAATAAATATCAAAATCGTGGTAACAGAGACGTGACTGTTGTTAATAAAAAAGCAGACACAAGTTTGTGTAAATTGTTAAGAAACGTTTAACTTAAACGGTTTAAGGTTTGATTTTATGGTAGTTAAGTTTTTGTACAACTATAAATTTAATTAAAATAATTGCTTTATTACCATACTTCACAATAAAATCCATGGGTATAATGATTATGACAACAGTTTAGTCATGCATAGCAGCCTTCTAAAAATTGCTTTAAATTTTACTTTCAATTAAATAAAATGATAAGTTTTATTTGTGTAACCTTTAGTAGTTAAACAAAATATATTAAATTTTACGGTTGATTCGAAAACAATGCATTTGCAAACACTTTTAAATAATCGTAATTAATAAACAATGGTATGAAGTAAAAACATGTTTTATTAACTTTAATTATAAATTCAATTTCAATCAAAACTTATGACCTACGATCATACAAGGATTCCCCATTTTTTTAATAAAAACCACCACTGGTTGTTCCCGACATGACAACTGACGCAAAATATTCTCGCACAGTGGGCTACATTTATTAAAAATTTACATGTGTTATCATTAATTACTTTGTTGATAATTGTTTTTTGTTTTGCATACTCAGCTATTTTAAGGTACTTTGAATAAAACAATACTTACTTTTTATTGTTAGGTATCTCGAGGTTTCCTTGGTTTTCCCGTCGATTTTAAATTTTACCTTTCACTTTTTACGCCGATTGATGCTCATGTACCTATTTTTTAAGAGTTCCACAAAATCATAATAAATGTTCAACTATCCCGCCTTTATTATCCACACTAAGGTGCCAGCGGTGTAGAAAATTAAGATGTGTCGCTCTTGCTATCATATCCGGATGATTTCGGATTTTTTTCTGTCGCTGCAGTGACAAGTTCGTGAAGTTGTTCTAATGTGTCAACCAGTTGCTCGTGACCATTCATTAAGGTGAGGCCCACGAACCGCTATATGGCAATTTTTTTTGAAATTTTCAAGGTTTCGCATTTTTGGAGCCTTTCAGAATATAAATAATAAAAATATAATATTTAAAAATATGTTCTTTCACGGGAAGAATTTTCAAAATTTAGCTAGAATAATACAAAAAGTGCGGGACGAGGTGGGATTTTTATTTATTCCTTCAGCAGGTTTCCACATTACCCAGGAGGTACTGCTCATGAGCAGTACCATGCATTTTTACCTATCTTACAATAGTTATTTTTAGATTAATAAAGGCACAACCGCACAACAACAAAATAATAATGTACAAGCACAGTAGGTATATGAAACTCAACGATTTAACACTGAACTATAAAAAAAAACATGAATATTTTTATTTATATTTTTTGTGATTTTTACTGTGGTATTTGTGTGTTAATTTAATACATAGTAAATTAAAATAAAAATTATTTGAATTATTTTTACATGAATTCACAACACAATAATGTATTTTACGCTTGCATTTTTATCACAACTTTCCATTTTTAAAGACTTAACAGAAATAAAAAACTATAAACACGCATAGATCTAATTAATAAGCTTTGTTTACTAAAACATTCCACGCCCCGCCCAGTCTTTTACAACGGCTGATAAGCGAGCCGCACAGATCTCGGGACTGACTCTGCTGTCTTCCATATACTGTGGTGCAAGCCCAACTTAGTGGGCCTCAATGTCTACAAAAATTCGCGATTTATCCGCGCCTTGCGGGGGTGCCGGCGGCACCGTGCAGCGGTGGGGAGCATGATGTTGTATCGGCAATGTGTGACGTATATGAAGCGCAAATTTCTGTGATTACTATTTCCCTATTATGCGGTCGGGCAATGATTTACGCGTTTAGAATTAAAGTTGGAAGGGGTGTGCGCTGAATTTAAAGGAAATATTTTAAACTTTGATGGTTATTCGATGTTTTGATACTTTTAATGACTGGAAATTAGTTTAAAAACGTTTTATATTTAAATAAGTAATGTATTCAACATTTCAAATTATATTATAATTTTAACATGTGAGGCCCGGCTTCAGTTGCTTTATACGACGAGCCGCCACTGGTGTCAACTTCGCTCTGGTACAATAAACTGTTCATGTAGACTCAGAAAAACTACAATAACAATAGAACTGTCAGTAGTCAATGATAACAAAGTACCTACTAACCGATTTTGAATACGTTTAAAAGTTTGCATGATATTACAATGTGTCATAATACACTGTGCGCATACCTGTTTCTTTTTTGCTTTATTTTAAAAGGTAAAAACACTTTTTTCTCTCTGAAATTTTTATTTCAAATTAAGAATATATTCTTAATAGGTACTCACCATTTTATAGATATCTTTGTAAAATTAAACAAAAGTTAAAAATGCCACATGGTAAATAAAATTAAATTACATAGTAATTATAAAAAATATATCTTTGAAGATTGAAATATTTTTAGTTTGTGTTCAAGGTTCCTATCAGACACTTTTGTCCAGGACTTAGCTGGAATGCTTCTCAAGGCATCATCTTTCATGTTCACTAAACGCTAACTCGCTAAATTTACGTTTCAGGTATCATACGCGGCGAGAATGTGGGGCCGAGCGCAACTGCTCGTGCTGATGACGCTTCTTCATGCCCAAGGAGACGAAGCCCAAGAAGACAACGAGCTGCGAGTGGGAAGATCCATCGACATCTTCACCAGGTAGATCAAACACTCTTTATCCTTCATTCTATGTATTAGGGTGATTCAAAAAAACCTTTTTTGTGTTTTTTTCTCGGAACCACGCTCAAAAGTTTCGTATAGATATAAAAATGAGCCTGTGAAAAAATGAGCTCTTAATTTCAAAATTAAGATGCTCCGCATCGCACTTTTCGATTTTCCATAAGAATAACATAGGAAAAATTATTTTTGTTTCTTTTTATTTTTGTAACTAACGAACAATAGGTCGTACTGTAAAGTTCTTGACATATTATGTTTGTAGAGAATTGAACGCTCTACAAAAAAGGTTTTTTATGATTTTTTGATAAATTTGATCCTTCTAAAGAAATTTAAGGTCAAAGTTCAAATTATACAAAATTTTTGGGTTTTTTTAACTTTTTTTGCGAGTCTGCCCGACTCATTTAAAAAATTTTGAAATATTTTTGTAGAGAATTGAACGCTGTTTTCCGAATTTCCAGAGCTCAAAAACAATATTTCGATTCGTTTTTAGCCCTTTGAACTAAAAAATCCAGAAAAAATTCGAGAAAACGACTAAATTGACGGTTAATTTTACTTTAACCTTGAATAACTTTAAACCAAGTAGAACGTTCAATTCTCTACAAAAATATTTCAAATTTTTTTAAATGAGTCGGATAGTTAAAAAACACAAAAATTTCGTATAATTTGAACTTTGTCCTTAAATTTCTTTAGAAGGATCAAATTTATCAAAAAATCATTAAAAACCTTTTTGGTAGAGCGTTCAATTCTCTACAAAAATATCTCAAGAACTTTACAGTACGACCTATTATTCGTTAGTTGCAAATATAAAAAGAAACAAAAATAATTTTTCCTATGTTATTGTTATGGAAAATCAAAAAATGCGATGCAGAGCATCTTAATTTTGAAATTAAGAGCTCATTTTTTCACAGGCTCATTTTTATATCTATACGAAACTTTTGAGTGTGGTTCCGAGAAAAAAAACAAAAAAAAAGGTTTTTTTGAATCACCCTAATATAATTAGATATTACTTTGTTACTTGAAAAAGGACAACTTTGGTGATATGTCAAACTAATATTGGAAATATTTCCCAACACCAAAACAAAACACAAAGTGGTTAAAGTACTTTTCGCCAACGATGTTGGCGTCTTCAGAAGCTAAGTGTAACTGAGTACAACATCGTTAAGAACTTTTGGTGTTGGGGAATGTGTCCAATATTTGTTTCACAACTTTGTTTATCTTCCTCAGATACGGGTACCTGAGCCTGAGCGTGAAGGTGGTGCCCAAAAACGAATCCACATGGCTGTTCCGTGAGCCGACGATAGACATCTTCGAAGGACTGAACCAGTACGCTGTTCCGAGCAAGCGGCAGTCGAAGAAGCGCCTCGTCTTCGACGGCAACTTCCACATGGAGTTCTGCGACAACTCCAACCAGCTGCTGCAGGCCTACTTCCGCGACTTCCAATTCCAAGGGCTGGACAAGCCGTGGAAGGCGTTCACGGGCAGCTGGACGCCGGAAACGATAGCCAGGAATTTGGGCATCAACTCCTCCTTCATCACCTCGGACAGTTACTGTTTCGTGCTGGTGCGGTTGTCGCGCTACCGCGAAGGTGTCAAGTTGACGAGGGTTCCGAACAACATCAATCTGGCGGACGTGGTGGCCAGGGAGATCGACAATATGCAAGTGGGGGATGTGGGGAGTGTCGTTACGTTCATCAAGAAGTACGGGTCTCATTTCATCAACTCCTTCGTGACCGGAAACTCTATTTATCAGGTAAGGTTAGAGATGCGACTTGAAAAAAAACGGTCCGTTTTTTTTTGTTTTTTTTCATTGTTTTTTTTTTCAAATGGTTTTTTTTTTCACATTTTAGGTTTTTTTTCAAGATTAGTCCCATTTGCCAATTTTTTTATGTTTCCAGTCCAGTTCATGAACTAAAATTAGCCACTAAATGACATTTAGTAAATGTAAATACAGTCTCGCGCTTTGCACGCGCCACCACCACCGAATTGACCAATAAGGGCCGCGCTTGTTTTGATTTGGTCCTAAAAAAAGTATCTACATATAATATTTTTGATTCAGCGTTTGATTTTTTAAAAAGCTACCAAAAGCAATTTTTCCATGATTTTTCAAATTTATGTAGGTACAGTATGGAAATTTTTTTTTTTCGAAAAAAAAAAATAGCAAATTCTTGTAGAACATTTATTCATTGGTGGTCAGAACATTCCTTGGACCAAAAAAGAAAAGAAGAAAATCTCAAAACTATTAACTTCAAATTGCTTTTTTACGGCTCCAATACGACCATTTTTAACAAAGATACAGCCATCCGAAAAATCGCAAAAACAATTTTTTATCCTTTAATTTTTTGTATTAGTGTAGAAGTTTTACATTGCTATTGGTTTTTAATGTGGAAAACACCAAATAATAAGAAATCAGATTTTTTAGTCTTATTAAAAATTTTCAATAATGAAAAATGTAATATATTCTACATTTTACTCAAAATTTCATTTTGAAAAAAAAACAAAAAAACTGGTTTTTTTTCTAGGTTTTTTTTATGTTTTTTTTTCACATCTGAAAAAAAACCGTTTTTTTACATCTCTAGGTAAGGTGCCATTTTAGTTTCATCATCGGTTTCCGGGTTTTCATTTATTCTGTGCCCAAGGTGTGCCTGAACGAGTTTTAAGTCACATAAAAATGCCGCCAAAAACTGATTGCAGTTTCATGTTTGGGACCCTTTGGTGACTTAAAAATGATATTTGGGCAAATTTTCGTTAAATGTACATTTGCTGTCCCCGGCTAATTTTATTTTTATTTTTGACCTTTGTTGATAAGTTTTGTATTTATTATATTTAAATACCCCCTTTCTTTTAGGACCCATCGTATTTTTTTTTTAAATTACTTTATGTTTCTATACAGGGTGTTATGTAATTAATGTTATATATTAAAATGGGTTGTTCCTTAGGGTCCATAAAAAAAACATGAAACTTTTTTTTTCTAAATTCCAAAGTCTAAAAATAATTTATAATAACCTTTATCCTACCAAAAAGTACGCCACTGATCGACTAGGAACTTTAGGTTAATCTGGTGGATTTATTATGTTATGGTTGGTAACAACAGTTTTTCCAAAATCTCTCAAAAAAGTTGACAAACATTGTTTAAATTTAGCTTAATTACAAAAATGACAAAATTAACAATGCAAATTGTCAATTTGGCGTTTTTATTAATTGTTGGTTATTTCATTTTTGTACTGAAGGTAAATTCAAACAAAATCTGCCAACTTTTATGACAGAATCTAGTGCATTTCTTTTAAATTTTAGGTTATGTTTTCAAATTGTAAATATCTTAACTAAGGGATGTGCTTTTGGATTTATTTACACAAATTAAATGTTTAAAGTTTAACCTGTGAACTGGTCCCAATTTCATCTGAGTAAACAGAGAAAAAAACTGATGAAAAAATTAATTTTGTGGTTATGGATTTCAAATTTCAAAGGTACTAAATTTTCTAATCATTGCTTAAGCTAATAGCTGGATCAGTAAATAAACACAGAAGGGTATTAGAGCTTTAAGGGCATAAAACTTTTGTATTTATTGAGTTTTTATTTATTTTTTGCAAGAAAAATTTTTAGTAACAATTTTTCACATCTGGCAACGCATAGCTACTTTGTTGGTTGGTATCTATGTACTCACAAAATACAGGTGTGCAGAGATAAACAAGTGTGTAACCAGTGGCGTATCACAAAAAATATAAAAAACTTCTAATGCATATTTTTTCTTTATCTTTGGAAAAATGCTTTTTAAAATATTTTTCCTTTATTCCTTATGTCAAAAGGTATTCAGTATTTTAATATATAACATTAATTACATAACACCCTGTATATGGCAGAAAAACTAGGTGAAATGTCCTGTAACCTAACTGTCCCCAGAGGCGATTTTTTTAATTTAAATTATTATATTCTTCTTCTTTGCAGCTTTCTTCTGAAAAAATAAATTATTTTTGAACAATGGAAAGTTAGTTTATTCGTATATAAAAATAAAATAGTTTTTTACAAAGTAGTTTAAACAGAAAAAAATATTATAGTTGACATTCAAAAATCTTGTCCCAGCCGTCGAGTGAATAAGTCGACGCAGCAGAGGCAGAGTAAACGTAAACCGTATAACGATAAAACCATAACCAACAAATAAACCTTCATAGTGCAAACTACTATAGTGTAAAAAAAATACTGTGAGTACAGACTACAATACGGTCAATAATTAGTTGACGGCCAAGTGAAAAGGAGGAGTGAAGTGACAGGTGCAGGCGAACATAGTGAAACGGTCAAAAGTTTTAAGCGTTGAGTGACAAGAAAGTGTCGAGTGACAAGTGTCAGTGCCTGAGCGGTCGCACCATCGGTCAACAGGTCGATCTCCACAGGCCAAACAAAAGAGGACATACAAGGGAGAAACAGGCCACCTGCAAATATTTGCTAAGTATTTCCAATTCTTCCGCATGACCTAACACATAATTTGCAAATTGAACTAAACAAGGCACATTGCCTAACTAAAAAAAACAATAATCATCGGCATTAAATAAATAAAAGTCAATTTTCCAAGAAAAACCAAACAGCCGATCGCGGACACGCACCAAAGTTGAACAGGGCAATAAAGCTGTCAACATAACAATTCAAGTAAAATAAACCGAGACCAAATAAATTTGACACTTAAGACATAAACAACATAAACTAAGAAAAATAAACAAAGTTAAAAAAAGCACTATAATCAAACTCCATGGAATTTGTAAACACTCTTGACTTCATAGTAAAAGTAAAAAAAATACCCCCCACTGGGAACTGCCTTATCGCAGCGATTGCACATCAGCTGCTTAACACGGTGATAGGTTCGTTACGCGAAACTGAAACAACAGCAGAGACTAGACAAATATTAAACAACCACTTACGTAATAACCTAGGAACGTACAGACCCTACATCGAGGACGCAATAAATGAACTAAGCAGTCGTATGAACACATAAGTGACAAAACAGGACAAATTAATGCGTACCTAAACGACCACGGTAATTACGGCTTCTGGGCCGGACTGGAAACAATACTAGCCGCCTCAGACGTATACAACGCAACAACATACTACAAGCCACCCTTAAATTAGACCTTACAGACAAAAAAGTCGGGAGACCATGCTTCACATTTCATGACACGTTAGCACAAAACATGCACTTCTCACAAATTAACAAGACCAGTTGGGAGCAACTTAGCAACAATAAAAACAAAATAAAAAAAACAACCGACACACTTTACCAAGTTCAGGAACTATCCGACACGGATAATGACAATAATGAACAAGACGAAGACCTCGACTAGGTAACTACACACTGCAGCAATAACAACTCCCCAACTCCAAATAGTAATCCCAAATGTTTGGAGTAATATTAATCGACTGGTCTAGGGGGATTCCGCGTCGTACTTAGTTTTAAGTCGGCGTAATTGTCCCCCAAAAACCAACACCCTCCCGTCCCTTCTCCATACCCCACTGAGCGTATAGCATAGGCTCGGCGAACCCGGGAATGGCTATTATAACTATTCGCCTCTCGCTCTCGAGCTCCAAATAGGCGACAGTACGAAACGCAATGGACATTCGCACCCAGCAAACACGGGTGAAGCCGCGAAGTTGCTGGGGAAGAACAAAAATCGGCGTAAGTAAACATAGGCCTGTACGGGGTTCGAGAGTCAAGAGGAAATGGGGCTGGTTATACGTCTCTTATACTCATACTCATACATTCAAAAATCTTGTCTTTTTCCTAACGTCGTCTTCTATGCCGACTGCTTCGAAATAGAGACACGAGATAGAGATACTATCGTGTTATTTCTAGAGGGCATACATGTTTGATAGTTCGGCAACAACAAGTGAGCACGTGTAAAGTGTGTGAATTTTTTTGTAAATATTTTAAAGGTAAGATTTTTTTGCGTACACTTTTGGTCTTTTACAAAACGCTACATACAACTCTTGTTTTAGAAGTTAACTTTTTTATTTTCATTTTGTATTATAACATAGTAGAAATTCCAAACAAATGCCGAAAAATATTTACATTTAACAGTATTTCTAAAAAATAACGTTTGAAAAAGTTAAAAGCAATGTGTCATAAAACGTTCAGGAAGATGCGTTAGGAGGAGGACAATGTTTCATTTCTTCCTTGTGTTCCTTCCCTATTTCAGATTAACCCTATAAGTTTTATTTCTTTAAAGTTTATTTTTGTTATAGAATTTTTTTGCAGTATATTACACTGTTCTATCTCAAAGGAAAAAAATCGATCAAATTGACCTGCCTGGACAAAATATATATACAAAATGTACATTTAACGAAAATTCGCCCATTTACCAAAATCCTAGCTGCTCCTCTTTTCCAATTTTTTTTTAAAGTTCATGTTTTTTTTAATTTTTGTTTATCTCAAAGTCTACTTTTGACAGAGTACACATTTGTACACCGATTTTTATAAAATTGGAGTATATTATTGAGGAGACTTAGCCAAAAATCGCTTATTTTTTATAAAGCAAAAGCGTAAATTCATGGTTTTGGCATAACACTCAAAAAATATTTATCCCCATTTTTTTAGATATTTCTACGTTTACAGGTTACAAAATGACATTCTTATTAACCTTTAATAAGAAAAGCAGTTTTTTAATAAAATTAAATAAAATATCACTTCGACAATACAATTCATTAATATTAGAACCAATAAAATGCCAGTATTCCATAGTGACGTATTTTATCACAGCGGCAATAATT